ATGAATCACTTTTTTCAGTGCTGTTGTAACTCTGAACAGTTAATTAATGAATAGTTGTAAATCGAGGACTACCTATAGCAGCTAGCAAGTAGCAATAGCATTTCGACTTATATACCACTTCACAGTGCCTTACAACCCTCTCTAAGTGGTTTACATATTGCCCTCAACAATCTGGGTCCTCATTTTACTGACCTTGGAACGATGGAAGGCTAAGTCAACCTTGAGCCATTCAGGATTGAACTTCTGACAGTCGGCAGAGTTAACCTGCAATACTGCATTCTAACCACTGCGCCACAATTCTTAAATGCTGTTTTTAATTAAAGGTCAGGCCCAGCAAATACTTTATTCCAGTTCTTTGAAATGAATGGCCACCATTTTTCTCAGAGCATAAGCATCTTCATTTGAATTGGAATATTGCATAACTTCCACATACTGTATTGAAAGTCTATAAGTAGCCAGAGATGGTTTCATTGTATAACAATGATTCTGTTCCAAAATAAATTACATTCCCAGATTATTATTTCGTCTGGCTATTAGAAGGCTCTAGAAGGCCTACAACTAACAGGATCTATGATTCCACTTGGAAGAATTATTGCAGTTGGTGCAACAGGCAACAACTAGACCTATGCAACATCTCTATCCCAGATATCTTAGATTACCTAGTGGAAGGTCTGGATAGGGGGTTAGCACCCAATACAATTCATAGACAGGTGGCTGCCCTATCAACCATTCTTACCTATGGCAACTCCGAAACTCTAGCTAGACACCCAGTGGTGCGATCCTTTGTAAAGGGCACAGGCCACTTGTGGTACACAGATACCCCTCCTGGGATCTACCTAAGGTCCTGCAAGCCATAACCTTACCTCCATTTGAGCCTGTCAGGACCTGTGACCTACAGTACCTGACCCTTAAGGTCACCTTCTTAGTCGCTGTTACCTCAGCAAGACTCATCTCAGAACTAGCAGCCCTGTCAGTGAGGGAAGACCTTTGTACCTTCCACACGGACAGGGTGGTGTTATGTTTGGACTCCTCCTTCGTTCCAAAGGCCAATTTCCTATTCCACAGAGCACAGGAGGTGGTTCTACCAAACTTTTGCCCCGAACTGTCCCATGAACTGGAGCGCAAGTGGCACATGTTAGACGTTCGCAGAGTTTTAAAACAGTACATCAAGCGAACGGCACCCTTCCGTAAATCGGAAGCACTGTTTGTCTCCTTCCGTTCTCACATAAGAGGTTGGAAGGTCACTGCATCCACAATCGGTAGATGGATTAGAAGGTGTATAGCAGAGGCTGTCCTTGATGGTCCCCAGACAAATCACTGCACATTCCATGCGCAGTGCTGCAACCTCAGCAGCATGGGCAACTCAAGAAATATGTAGAGTGGCGACGTGGATGTCGCCTTCCCCTTTTATAAGACACTACAAATTAGACAGATTCGCATCTGCGGAGGCCTCCTTTGGCAGAAGGGTACTCCAGTGCATAGTATCAGAGAGTGGGACACAGGCCCAGACGGCATCCCACCCACAAGGAGAGTGAGGCTTTGGTATGTCCCACTGGTGGATTCTCCACTCGTCATGATGGAGAAGGGGCATTGGTCTTACCTGAACGCCTTTTCTCAGCATGATGATGGAGAATCCACTCCCACCCTTGAGGCCAGTCAGGTCCTGTGAGAGGAGAGGATGGAGTCAACACAAGAAAACATAGCCAAACAGCTTTCACCTTGTCTAGACTGGGAAAGGGAGGTCCCAGGAGGAGAGGCGGAGCAAAATTAGTCAACTAGTCTATGGGCAGAAGATGAAGAAGACCATGTTCCAAATGAATCCTTGGAGAAATGTTAGGCTTCCCTAGTTTCTGCTAAGAATAAAAATGATTAATTACTTTATTAGAATTTTACTTAATTTAAGCCATGGGAGGCAGCTGATATAATCATAGTTATGATCTTTGCACTTTGCAAACTATAGTTTATATATTCAGGTAATCCTCTGTGTACAACAGTTCATTGAGTGACTGTTCAAAGTTACAACAGCACTGAAGAAAGTGACTTACGACGATTTTTCACTCTTACAACTGTTGCAACATCCCCATGGTCACATGATCAAAATTCAGATGGTTGGCAACTGAGTCATTTTTATGACAGTTGCAATGTCCTGGGGTCATTTGATCAGCTTTTGCAATTTTCTGATAAGCAAAGTCAATGAGGAATCCAGATTCACTTAAACAACAAAGCAATGATTCATTTAACCACTGTGGAAAGAAAAGTCGTAAAATGGAATAAACTCACTTAAGAAAGGTTTCACTTAGCAACATAAATTTTGGGCTCAGTTGTAGTCGTTACTTGAAGATTAGCTGTACAAAATTGTTAGAGTTTATTCAGATGTAATACTAATTTAGTTACTACTGTTCCACTTTTTGTTAAAGATTGTCTCAGCTCTCATCAGTGACAGGAGAATTGCCTCAGACCTTCCTACTAAATGGACAACATACTCAAAGGAAAAGAAAAAAAATAATAATGAGAAGGAAGCTCAGTTTGCCAATGTCAGAACAAAATGTTTAGTTGTGTACTAGCTTTCATATACATTTGCTGTGAGGCTTTCCTTATTTGGCTAAGTTGTCTTACTTGGATAAACATGAGGCAACTGACTCAAGCTGAGGGAAGAAACGCAACCTAGGGGCAATTGGTAATTCAAGACGTGCGTCTGTGTGTACATCTAAACCACAGCCAGGATCAGTTTTCTGTCAAATTATTTTTCTTGGCAACAATATTTATTTAGAGAATGTACTTATTTATACAAGACTGCCCATCTTACATACATAACCAGAATACAGTACCTGAGGCACCAGAAGTCAGGACACAACTACACCTATATTAGATTCAACTAATGTCCTGGTCCAGCATCTAGAAAAGTTTTCATAGTCTTCCAGAAGTCCAGGTTTAAGACCCTCCAGATTTTGAAGGGAGACTGTTCCATAAGACAGGTGCTATGACAGAGAAGGCACCAGTTTACCATTGTCTTCTTCTGAGGGGTCTGTGCGAGCCAGTTCATTTTAGAAAGGCCTTCTAAAGGTAATTAACTAGCCACGTTCACATCTATAAAACAGACATTGAAATATTCATAAAATATTCATATCTAGGATGGTACGGGTAATCCTCAAATTACAAGGTTCATTTAGTGACCATTCAAAGCTACAATGGCATTGAAAAAAGTGACTTACGACCTTTTTTCACATTTGCAACTGTTCTACCATTCCCACTGGCAACTCATATTTATGACGGTTGCAGTGTCCCAGGGTCATACGATCACCATTTGTGATCGTCTGAAAAGCTAAGTTAATGGGGAAACCAGATTCACTTAACAATTGTGTTATGTACTTTAACAATTGCACTGATTCAATTAACAACTGCAGCAATTAAGGTTGTAAAATGGGGCAAAATTAACTGCCTCGCTTAGCAACAGAAGTTTTGGCTCAATTGCGGTCGTAAGTTGAGGATTACCTGTAAGTGAATAGACTCAATGAACAGCATCAGAAATATACTTTGTTAATATTAGTATACGTGTGTTCATATTATTCCAAATAATTAGTTGTGTAATAGCCATATACTGTCTTGAAAATTTGCATATACATAGTATGCAATTAAATTTAGTTTTTACATCCAACTGGGAAATGAACTGATCCCCTTCCAAAGATAGGTATCTTTTTGCCAAACCTAGATGATTACAATATACTCATTTTAATGTTTTGAATTCCTCTGAACAATTTGCAGTCCTATACAGAATTTCCAGGAACTTCACTGTCCATGATCTTCTAGGAGCTAGAAATGTAATTGACCACATATGTTTGTCAGCTAGCAACTTTTTCACAAACCAAATTTAGTTTCAGGTTCTAAACTTCTGAAAAACACAATTGCTTACATTTTTAATCTTTAAGTGTAGGAGGCACTATTATATTTAACAGGCATTTTTTGTCTTTGAGCGTTAACAGTGATAGACTATCTACTTCAGACGTTTGCTGACATTGGTAGTATTTGGCTTCCAATATACAATTGGTATGAACAATTGGTTCATAAGAGACTATTGTAGATATGGAAATCAGTTATTAGATTCAGAAATCAATTTACAACATTTATGTGTCCCATTTATAAATAGACAGTGAGTTGAAAACTCTCATCGATGCTATGCTGGGAGGCGAAAGCAATGCTTTAGTCTGAAAGATCTGGAGGACACCAGATTAGGGAAGACTGAAATAAAGCATAAAATAATTACGCTTTAATATTAATGTGCCTTTTGAATGTACATTAATATAGTACTTAAAAAGTTCTTAGTTTTTGAATAGAATGTACCAGTAAGATGATTGTCACTTTTAATCAGTGATTCAAAGTAGTAGCTGAGCTATATCTAAATATGTCATTTTATTGGTGAATGCTACTTCCATTAATTTATATGTATTCTTCATTTGTATGACTTGTACAGTACACCAGCCTGGAGAAATGCAGAATTGTCTGAAAAAGGGTTTTTCTCTAGGAAGTACGGCAAAGAATGGCTGTTATCTAAGTGTGGGTGAGTGCAAATAAAATGCACAGGGTCGGACATAACCTATTACAATTCTGATCGAGTATTAGCTACCTGTAATTTTGGTGAAATACATTCACATCTAAACAGAGTAATTTAGAAAGATAAAGTTAAGGAGCTATACATAAAAGAATAAGGTTCTATTCATGTGTAGATTAGGAAGCAATGCAATGTCTCAAAATGTTTATCAAGAAAGGCAAAGGTTAATACTTCCTAAAATTATTTATTTCAGTAGCTTAATCAAGGATGTATTTGCTTCCTGCTTTTTTCCCAAACACTTGAAGAACGTTTGCTCCCAGACGTGGCCTTATGGTCTCAATTATCCATACTAAATGAAATGGGAAGAGGAAAGTAATTTTAATAGCAGAAGTTTCTCTGATTATATTCAGAACAGTAGTTAACCCTTTAAGGAATATTTTCACAGAAAAGCACACGCAGAGCAAAACAGTGTTTATTGTGGCCACGTCTTAGGTACAAGTTTGTGATATTGCACATTTTTAATGTGTAAAAAAATAAAAATCACTTTCTCCTAGGGGTATCTACACATCTCATGAGCTAAAATAGGGAAGGCACACTCCAGGTCCAAAAACTGTCCATAACAATTTTGAAGTTCACTTATATTATATGGCAGTTAAAACCTTGCTAATAACCTAAGTAAACCGTATAAACAACATGTTAGTTTCTAGAGCAGAAATATGCAATTATGGCTCCTTTATAATCTGTGGACTTCAACTCCCAGAATTCCTGAGCCAGCCATGTTGACTCAGGAATTCTGGAAGTTGGAGGCCACAAGTTGTAAAGGGCCATAAATGCCCACCCCTGTTCTAATCTACTAAGCTCTTATAAAGAGCAAAGAAAAAAAAAACTACATTATACAAACGTAATGGGTATGTAGGACTACTTCACACAATTCTATAGTACAACTTAGTGAAAAATACTAGCATTACTTTGACTATCATCTTCACTTTCTAAATTTTTATTTTGCTCTGAAAAACAGCTTCCGCCATCCTTATTGGCTGCTTCAGATTTTTTTCTTCCACACGAATCCACGTCATTTCCTTTTTCTTTCTCTTCTGAGGAAGAACTCCTGGAGTGATCCTTGTTTTCTAGTGCAAATTTCAAAGAGCTGTAAAATCTAGCGAGAGATTTTAAATATGTTTCAGGTTGGCAGTTCCATTAATTGGATCGCATAAATAACAACTGGATTGCACTAATAACAAAATAAATTAATGCAATGCCACAGAAGAATCAGAGAGTTTTTTTAACTGATTTGTGAGAGGCTAAAATAGCATGGTATTGATATACTGTATTTATTAAATTTCTACAATCATAAGAGTCTGGGAATGACACAAAGTCAACTGTAAAACATCTACATTATAATAAATAAAGCTTCTAGAACAGTGGTGGCGAACCTATGGCACGCATGCCAGAGGCGGCACTCGGAGCCTTCTCTGTGGGCACACGTGCCATTGCCCCAGCCTTGCCTCCTCCTCACGACCTTTTCCTCACCAGCAGACCCCCTGGAGGAGGGTCGCCCCCGAGTGTGGCCCACACGGAGCAGCGCAACCAAGGACATGGCAGCCAGGCAGCATAGACAAGACTTTGCCCTCATGCCCCATCCCGCACAGTTGATGCTGCGGGGTGCGGGCAGAGGGTGTGGCCGCCATGGCACTGCTGGGCTGCCTGGGCGATCTGCAGCGGGCCCTGGAGGCGGTGAGTGGCCCTGCGGGCAGGCAGGGCAGGGGCTGGGGTGGAGCACGCCAGTTTTTGGGCACTCGATCTCTAAAAGATTCGCCATCACTGTTCTAGAATATAGAAGGCTAATGATCAAAAGCAACCAATATATGACCTTCAAATGGAGCCATGTGCAGGAAGAAAATATCACAGGATGAAATCATCTTAATTATATCTATACAAGAAAACATAGTTTAATATGGTGCTTATATGATGAATGCAAAGTAGAATTGTTTAATGGGACTGTTTGTCCTGTGCTGTTGTCTTAAAAATTGGGAGTCCAGCAAAGATGAAACCTCATTAAATAGATTCTTACAATGGTTACTCATTACACCTATCTGCCTTTACTCAGGAGAAAAACCCACTGAATTCCTTCCAACTCACTCTGCATGGATCGGCATAGTAAATATGTATGTATATGTGCACACACACATTTTGTACTGGGTGCATAGATATGAACTTTTTTATTCTACCCTTATTATTTTATACAAAGAGCACATGGTGGCAAAAATAGCTAATACTCCTTCTTCCTCCTGTTTTCCTCATAACAACCCTGTGAGGTGGGTTGTGCTGAGAAAAAGTGACTGGTCCAAGATCAGCCAGTTGGCTTCATGTCTAAGGCAGGACTATAACTCAGTCTCCTGGTTTCTAGGCCAGCGCCTTGACTTCTGCATTGCTAACAAACCTGTTAATTCTCTTCCAATTTTCTTTCATCTTCCGATTCGCAACTTGAACTACAAAGTCAGCATATTCTTCACTGACCATTAGTCTTCCTTTCTGAGTTAATGGAACTTCTAAACAATGGGTACTTCGGACAGCCTGTAATGATGTAAAAGGAGAAACTTACATATTAACCAACTTTTATTAAATCTGATAAAAGATGCGTACATTTTTGAATACTGTGTCAAAAACTTGCAACTTAATGCTAATGAAGGATTATGATCTACTGAGGATGACGGCAGACAGAAAGATTATTTTTCAGTGTTAGGAACCCTGTATTTATAGCCTTGGTACATTAGTATAGATTTGCTTTCTGTTTATGGCCTAGCTCTCTAGCAGTATAATGGAAAGACAAGTCAATGTAGTCAAGACATAATGGCGTTTAAAAATAAAGCTGAATGATTTCTTATATCTGACACAAACTGATTTTGTTGTTTAATTTTTCCCCTTTTTTCCTGCCTTTTTTTCTTTCTCTCCCTTTTACTTCTGGGGTTTTTTTCTTCTGTTTTTTTCCTTGTATATTAAAGCAATAAAGTATATTTTTTTAAAAAAAGGCTGACATGAAAACAGTTCTCAGCATAAGTAAGATTGTTAAAGAAAATGTGTATGGCCTTTAATAGAAAAGATACTTGACGTGACAAAGGAAGGTGTCTAAATTTCTTTTGCAAGGTACAATTCATTTTTTAGTAATTACCAAACATTTCACACTGCTTCCATCAACCCAGCTGAAATTGTCTATTTTGGTGATTAACATATGACTGCCTTTGAAAGTGGCTGAGGCTCTTGGCTGCACTCAAGATTTGACTTAAAGCTTTTAAGGAGACCCTAACATGGCTAAGATGTGATCCAACCTGCTGATTAAAACATATATTTTCACAGCTTGCCACATGTATTTGGTTTATTATTGGGTACTATGGTGAGAGTCATCTTATTAGACAGGTTCAGAAATAATAATAATAAAGTTGGAAGGGACCTTGGAGGTCATCTAGTCCAACCCCCTGCTCAGGCAGGAAACCCTTTACCATTTCAGATAAATGGCTGTCCAATCTCTTCTTAAAAACTTCCAGTGTTGGAGCATTCACCGCTTCTGGAGGCAGGTTGTTCCACCGGTTAATTGTTCTAACTGTCGTCTTATGCTGTGACAAGAGCAGGTCAAAGCAACGTCCCTGCCATCTGGGGGCCAGTGATGTTCATGCATTTACTTTCCATGTAGAGATGCTAGTTCACCTTAATGCGGCCTGTATGCAGTTACACCCTAGCAATTTTCTCTCAAGGAGCTGCAAATATCCATTTGGTCAAAGTAGAAGAACACAACATACCATCATAATTTTTCCTTTCCGGCTAACGGTTATACCAGAATTTCTGAACCCAGCTTCTATAGCCACGGTGTGCTATAAAAATAAGACCAAACAGCTGGCATAAACAAAGTGTCTAAGTTCTATGTCAATTTAAGAATTTCCCAAGAAACATATACCACACTGAAACAAGGTATATTTTTGAATACCAATTTTTCTCCTATTTACATGAATATAGATTATTTCTTATGTTTAGATCCAAAAAGTAGATTTTTGGTTTACATTAACCGAAACCTGGCTGGGCCCTGAGGGGGGGTGTTTCCCTCTCGGTGATGTGCCCGGATGGGTTTGTGGTGCTTCATCAGCCTCGACATCAGGGCAGGGGTGGGGGAGTGGCAGTCATCACTCGGAAGTCCTTGAGTCCTCGTGGGATTCCTGCCCCGGAGGTTGTTGGGTGTGAGTCCCTCCTATTGAAGTTGGATTCACGGGTTCAGTTGGGCTTGCTGCTGACGTACCTACCTCCCAGCTGCGTTGCAACAGCCCTGCCTGCATTGCTGGAGTCAGTAGCTGGGTTGGCGGTGGAGTTCCCCAGACTTATGGTACTGGGGGACTTTAACCTACCATCACTCGGCGATCGCTCAGAGGCGGCGCAAGAGTTCATGGCTTCCATGGCAACCATGGACCTGACCCAGGTAATTCAGGATCCGACTCATAGGGGTGGTCACACACTCGACCTTGTGTTTCTCTCGGGGCAATGGAGACATGATCTGGAATTAAGGGGAATAGAGATCTCGCCCTTGTCATGGACAGATCATTTCCTATTGAGGCTGGACTTCAGAGCATCACTCCCCCATCGCAGGAAGAGGGAGCTGACTAGGTGGTTCCGCCCCAGGCACCTAATGGACCCAGATCGGTTCCAGGAGGAGCTTGGGGAAATACCTGACTCCCTTGTCCACAACTCGTCCGGGTCCCTGGTTGCGGCCTGGAATGAGGCGGCATCCGGGGCCCTGGATCGAATTGCGCCTTTGCGACCTCTCTGTGGTGGTGGTCCCCGGAGGGCGCCTTGGTTTACTGAGGAGCTCCGGGAGATGAAGCGCCACAAGAGACGTCTAGAGCGACGTTGGAGGGCCAGTAACTCTGAATCTGACCGATCACTATTAAGAGCCTATCTTAGGACTTATTTAGTGGCGATAAGGGCGGCAAAGCATGTTCACTTTTCTGCACTTATTGCGTCCGCAGAATCTCGCCCGGCCGCCTTGTTTAGGGTGACCCACTCCCTTCTTAAAGTGGAGGAGGCGGAGGAACCCTTGCAGGGGAGAGCTGAGGAGTTTGTTCAGTTTCTTTCGGACAAAATCGCTCAGATTCAGAGAGACCTGGACTCCGACTGGGCCGTGCCAGCCGAGTTGCCGGGGGCTGGTCTTAGTCATGTTATCTGGAGCGAGTTTGAGCCTGTGACCCCTGATGAAGTGGACAAGGCCGTGAGGGCAATGAATGCCGCCACCTGTTTATTGGACCCGTGCCCCTCCTGGCTGGTTTCTGCCAGTAGGGAGGTGACACGAGGCTGGCTCCAGGCGATAATCAACGCCTGGAGGGAGGGGTCTTTCCCGCAACCTTTAAAGGAAGTGGTGGTGAGGCCCCTCCTCAAGAAGTCTTCCCTGGACCCAGCTGTTTTGAAGAACTTTCGTCCTGTCTCCAACCTCCCCTTTGTGGGGAAGGTTGTATAGAAGGTGGTGGCGTCCCAACTCTTGCGATCCTTGGATGAAACTAATTATCTGGACCCTTTTCAATCTGGTTCCAGGCCCGGCTACAGCACTGAGACTGCTTTGGTCGCACTGACCGATGACCTCTGGCGAGCCCGGGATAGGGGTCATTCCTCTATCCTGGTGCTTCTTGACCTCTCAGCGGCTTTCGATACCATCGACCATGGTATCCTTCTGCGTCGTCTCGGAGAGGTGGGGGTGGGCGGCACCGTATTGCGGTGGTTCTCCTCCTACCTCTCTGACAGGTCGCAGTCGGTGTTGGCGGGCGGACAGAGATTGACCCCTAGGCGCCTCGATCATGGGGTGCCTCAGGGCTCGGTCCTGTCCCCCCTCCTTTTTAACATCTACATGAAACCGCTGGGTGAGATCATTCGGCGACACGGGGTGAGGTATCATCAGTATGCGGATGATACCCAATTATATATCTCCACCCCGTGTCCTTTCAGTGAAGCAGTCGACGTGATGTGCCGGTGCCTGGAAGATGTGAGGGTCTGGATGGGGGTGAACAGGCTTAGACTCAACCCTGACAAGACCGAGTGGCTCTGGGTCTTGCCTCCCAAAGGTCAACTGGATGGTCCATCATTAGTCCTGGGGGGGGGGCAAATTTACCTCCCTCGGTGCAGGCACGCAACTTGGGTGTCCTCCTGGACTCACAGCTAAATTTGGAACAACATCTATCGGCTGTGGCCAGGGGGACCTTTGCCCAGGTTCGCCTGGTGCACCAGTTGCGGCCTTATTTGGACCAGGAGGCTTACTCACGGTCACTCATGCCCTTGTCACCTCAAGACTGGATTACTGTAATGCGCTCTACATGGGGCTACCCTTGAAGAGCGTTTGGAGGCTGCAGTTGGTTCAGAATGCAGCCGCGAGAGCGATGGTGGGCACGCCAAGGTACGCCCACGTGTCACCTATCCTCCGCGAGCTGCACTGGCTTCCTGTGGGTCTCCGGACGCAATTCAAAGTGTTGGTTATCACCTTTAAAGCCCTTCATGGCATAGGGCCAGGTTACTTACAGGACCGCATACTGCCGCACAGTTCCCAGAGACCGGTGAGGTCCCATAGATTGGGCCTCCTTAAGGTCCCGTCGGCCAGACAATGTCGGCTGGCGGGCCCTCGGGGAAGGGCCTTTTCTGTGGTGGCTCCGATCTGGTGGAATCAACTTCCCCCCGAGGTTCGAACTACTCCCACCCTGCCGGCCTTTAAGAAAGCCGTTAAAACTCTCCTGTTCCGGCAGGCCTGGGGCTGATGTCCCCGGGGGGGGGGGCAGGATATGATCGGACATGCTGTATGATTGTATTATTTTATTGTTTTATTGTTAGGTGATTGTTTTAATTTTGTACGCCGCCCTGAGTCCTTTGGGATTGGGCAGCATATAAATAAAATTAAATAAATAAATAAATAAATAAATAAATAAATACATTATCCCGCAGTATTACAGGAAGTCCTCATTTAGCCATCACAATTGCGACTGGTAACTTGGCTGTTAAGTGAAGTCACTAAGGGAAATGAGAACTATGGTTATGATCTTACTTCAGTTTTCCTTTGCTTTGTAGACCTGCAAAAGTCATAAATGCAAGGCTTGATCAGGAAGTTACTTCTTCATCACTGCTGTAGCAGTGAGCACTAACAAAGCAATTATCTAAGAGAGGACTACCTGTATAGCAGAAGGATGTACTTCAAAAAGTACATAATTGTAAAATGTTTGTATTTAACAGGCCCGCAGCAACGTGAATCCATATTATGAAGCAGAAAAAATAGAAGTAAACATTAGGACACAATTACAACTAAATGTGAAGAACCATGGTGCCTTAGAATGGACAACAGTACCAATCAGAGACAAAATACATCTTTTTTTAAAGAGTTGTGCAAAGCATTTTGAAGTGCAAGTAGTAGAACAGTACCTTACTGGAAGTGTTTTCACCTCACAATTGGCCATTCTGATTTCTATTTTCCAATCAGAGCAATCAGTTTAAAGGCTGGAATACTGTCTGTCAGATTGAAACAGCTTAAACTGCTTTTGGTGAGGTTGATAAGAGCTACTCTAGGGTTCAAACACTTTGATCCCTAAAAATGTTCATGCATCTAATCTCTCCCTTTTTCTGAACTCTGTTTATATTACCCACAGCATCATAAAACTGTAAGAAGACCTACATTTGCTGATGTGAATCAAAATAATTAAAAGCTTACACTAGTTCCTTACTGATACAAGTTCACATCCACAATCCAGTATTCATGAATTCACGATTACATACTTTGATGATAGCCACCAACTATTGCCAACCATCTAAAACTTGCACTTCTGAAATTCTCATTCAACCTCATAATCCCAACAAAACAAGCTTCCACTTATGAGCATGATATCTCCATCAGCATTTTCACAGGCCCACTTATTTAACACACAATGCTTCATATACAGGTAGCCCTGAACTCACAACCATTTGTTTATTGACCAAAGTTACAAAGGCACTGAAAAATGTGACGTATGACTGGTCCTCATACATACAACCATTGCAGCATCCTCATGGTCATGGGATTAAAATTCAGGTGCTTAGAACTCTGTGGGGACAGTTGCCATGTCCTGGGATCATGTGATCATCATCTGCAACCTTGCCAGCTGGGGTCCTAACAAGCAAAGTCAATGGGGAAGTCAGATTCTCTTAATGACCATGTGATTCACTTAATAACTGCAGTGATTCAATTACCAGCCATGGCAAAAAGTTTGTAAAATTGGGTATGGCTCACTTAACAAGAACATCATTTAACAACACAATTTCTGATCTGAAATTGTGATCATAAGTAGAGGACTACTTGTAATGCTTTCATGTGTGAGAACTGGGAGGAATCAAACATTACTTATGTAACAACAACAGTGTTTTAAGCATAATGCTTTACCAGAAGTTGTGCATCTTCCAGGTCTTGACATTGCACATGGAGAACAAATGGTTCAAATTTGAAGATGGCATCAGCTGCAGCTTTCTGCAAGGAGGTAAGCTAAGAAAGAGCAAAAGGTTAATATTGATGCGACATCTGTTAGCAATGAAATATAAGTAGCTTATTAAGCATCTAAAAACACTGCAGGACAGAAACTGACTTGACGTGCTAATTAAAATACATTTCTCCCATGTTATAATATTCATACGCACTGCCTAATATGTGCTCTGCTTGGTTTCATTCACTTTGGTGTAACATTTTGCTGAGATTTAACTTTCCAAAAGATTGACTGCTAACGATAAAGAGGCTTAGAAATCTTGATGCTGTATCATATAGCCACAATTCTAAGGTCTGCACACCAGTTTTCAGAAAAGCTTCTGATCAAATCTGGCCTATCAGTTTCCAGATGTTATTCAAATAATACTTTGAAAAATAATAAACTCCATCTAGCTAGAAGATCTGCAATAGGGGAAAAAATAGTGCACATTTACAGTAATAAGGCACATGTTTAAAGAATACTACAAAAACATTCCTGACTCCAAAAATTTTATTACTTTCTGTACAGATCTTATCCACATATTGACCTATTTAACCTTTTAAAACTGGTTTTTGGAAGAAAATGAACACTACAAAGCACTGTTTCCCTAGAATGCTTTCACTCAATAAAGTTTTATCTTCTCTTTGATCACCATACCCTAGAATGTTAAAATGGGAGTTTGGAGATCATCTAGTCCAACCCCCTAATAAGGGCTGGAATCCACTTCTACAGCGTTCCTGATACAGAGCTCTCCTACTTCTGTTTAAATACTTCCAGTGACGAGAGGCCATCACCTCCAGAGGTAGGCATTTTCCAGGTCTGGTAGTGAAGACTTTTTCCCCCTTGACATTTAATCAGATTCTATTTCTCTGTAGTATAAACAATGTTCTGGAACAATTCTGAAGAATTCTGTCTCTTTTTTTGTATTTCAGCCCTTCAGATTTTGAAGAAAACAATCTATTATGCTGTCCCTTGTCTATCTTGTCTTCTCCAAGCTGAGCAACCTAACACTTTCTCCATTTCTTGTACCTTTTCCCTCCAAGTCACTGGTCATCTTTGTTACTTTTCTCTGGATGTAGTCCAGTTCACCAATCTTTTTAAAATGTTTTTATTAAAAGATTTTACATATATAACAAGTAGTACATTCAAAGAAAAATAGTAAATATAAAAGAAGGAAAAAAAGAAAGGAAAGGAAAACAGAAAAAGGAAGATTGATGAACTGGACTATTTCTTTTAATCATGATATTATACTTCATTGGGGAAGTTCAAAACTACATTTGAATTTTCTGCAGCTGTTAACTTATGTTCAACTTGTGATCCACCAAGTCATCCAATTCCTTTTCACATGTACTTCTGCTCTCACATAGTCCCTTTCTTTCAGAAGCCTGCAATTTTCTATTACAAAAAATATATCTTACAAGGGCTTTAAAACAAGTTTGTTCCTATCACTAGAAATCATCACCAAGACATTTAAAATTTTGAAATAAATAAGGTGATTTGATCATCTGATATAGTCAGCTTTTTGGATATCCTCAGACTTCAGTTAACAGTAGTCATTACATGTGAGTTAAATATCTATGATGGAAAAAGCATCAGAAAGCCAGTTATGTCTATCATCTATTGAATGACTCACAATTCTACAAAAAAGAAAACACAATAATTCCATTTACTTTGATCAATAAAAAACTGCATCAGCCACAAACATAAGACAATGACATGGAAGAGCAGACTCCTTTCCTACTGATTTTGTTATATAAATTTGATTACAGAAGCTTGGCAATTCTTACAATATTGTTAGTATGCAGAAATAAGCAACATTTTGAAAGCTTGTGAAATAAACAATGTACTGATCCTACCACATCTTTTGTACTACATAATTGGTGGGTCACCATAAGCCAAGTACAGCTTTGCTTCTGTATTTCAAAGCCAGCAGCACCCTAATTAAGAAAAAAAAATCATACACAGTACAAATGTTTTAGGCATAGAAACACACTCAGAACTACTTGCTGTATTCCCAATTTTCCAACATTAAAACATTAGAATTTCCCAGCATGCTAAAGAGAAGGGGGGAAAAAAGCTAAGGATGATGGGGTAATAAAATGTATGAATGAATCAGTTTCAAGCTACATATCTGACTAGTAGTTAGATGAAAAAGAGTAAGAAGACATATTTCTGGAGATCATATCACATTTATCTCTGACAGAACAAGTCTTGAAGGCATTGAAGCAGTGGCACTTACTCTGAATAAGGCATATCTTGACATTATATTTTCAAAAGGGGAGAAATTTGGGACATACATACTTCAAATACCTCAGGTGCAATCTGAAGCACCTCCTAGTAAATACATGTATCAGATGTCTCATTTTCTTTTAAGAGGAATTCTGAAGTGTTGACTTAGCTTTCCATCTTTCTGAGGTCAGTAAAATGAGGACCCAGATTGTTGGGGAAAATATGCTGACTCTGTAAACCACTTAAAGAGGGCTATAAAGCACTGGGAAGCGGTCTATAAGACTAAGTGCTATTGCTATTATCCAAATCATCTTACTTAAGCTGGAGAATAATTCTGGACAACTGCCCAGTTTAGTTAAAGCACCAGGCTAGAAACAGAGATACATGATTTCTAGTCCTGCCTTAGGTAGCACAAAGCCAGCTGGAAGATCTTGGGCCAGTCCCTCTCTCTCAGCCGTAGAAAGGAGGCAATGGCAAAGGAGGCACTTCTGAAAATTTTGCCAAGAAAATTCAGGAACCAGACCATGCAGTCGCCAGGTGTCAATGCTAAAACTGAGACCTACACATAAAGGGATTTTTCAAGGGAATCTGAATTCACTGAGCTGCTTGTTCAATTCCAACAATCTGAGAGTGGAATGAAGTTCTCATAGCGAAGCAGAAATAGCAAGAAGAGCTTTCTCGATGGTGTGCGTGTGTGTGTGTTGTGTCAGCACCCAATTTATTACAGATTTGGGGCTGCAAAGTTCCGGGAAGCATCAACTCCCCACATTTTACACGCATGGTCTGAATGGTCGAGCGGAGCTTTGCAACCCAGATGCTGCAAGAGTCTTAACCTAGCGGAGGGTTGCCCTAAAGCAGCGCTTTAACTCCCAAAGAATTGGATTTTGTCAGGTTACAACCCCACGAGGTTCCAGAGCAGAAAGAAGAGGTGGTGGTGGTGGAGGAGGAAGGAGCGGTTCCAGCCAACCTCAGGTCGGCTTCAGATCTGCGGGGCGCAGCACAGGCCGACGCTGGGCTTACCGCAGCCGGGGGGGCGGCCGGGGGCTGTTCCAGAACCACCACGCGCCCCGAGCACGAGCTGGTGGTGCAGAAAGTCTCGCGGGCATTCAAGAGCCGGACGATCTCCTCGATAGGCTCGTCTACGCTGCCCTTCCGGCTCGCATCTGCGCGCGACAGCCGCTGCTCTTTCCAGTGCTTGAAATCGGCCATCAGCAATAGCAGCGGCGGCGGCGGCTTTTTTTCCTCCCCGCCCCTAGACGGCGGCAATGGCGGCCTTCATGGGACCCGTCCGTGGGAGGCGCCATCTTAGCCGGACGGCGTCTCGCTTGGGGCAAACTTAGTTCCCCAAGTCCCGGATCCTCGGAAGTAAACGTTCGATGACCCTTTCTGATTAGATAAGAGTATATATTGCTTTCGGGCTTCACCCTCCCTCTTTATTTTCTTGGAAGCGAAGACCCTGCGGAGGCTTCTTTCCTTGCTCAAGGAGCCTAGGCGACGGTGAGTCGAGAGGTACAAAACTAAAGCCACGGTTTGCGACATGATTCGATTGTGATTGTAGGTCTGATGTTCCTTAGATTTGTACCCCGCCTGTCTGATGGAGTCACTTACTGCTTCCTCTTCCTGGTTCTCCCCGGACCAATCTTTGAAATAGGTCGGGCTGAGGTTGGAATAGAATCCGGGTATTCCTGGTGCCATTCTAACGCCCTTAAACATATGTTTTTCATCCTTGCAACTTTAAAACGTGTGGACTCCAACTCCCAGAATTCTCCGGCCAGTATGGCTTGCTGTAGAATTCTGGGAGTTGAAGTCCAAGCATCTTAAAAGTTACTAAGGGTGGAAAAACACTGCCTTAACCACTACATCACTCTGACTTCTTCGCCAGCATGTCTTGGGCTGGAGAGAGAAGACAGCAAAACACTGAAAAAAGGCATCATCCGCCTAGTTTTATACTGCTCCCAAGAAAAGTATCTGGAGATATCCATGAAGTCAGCAGAAGCTGAAATCAATTCAAGGGTGGCTTCGCTCTACTCATTCTCCATCGTGAGGGTCTATAGCTCCTGTTAGACAAGAGAAGATTCGACCAGATGGCTGTTTAGTATAGCTGGGAAAACAGGGTGGTTTTTTTTTTTTAGTTGTTTAAATTGTATCAGTTGAGCTAACTGGAGCTGCAGTCCTGCAAACATCAGGAGACCACCTGTCCTTGGCCAAAGGGCAGTCATTCATATTGTGTAACAACAATAAGTCTGGGAGGTTTTGTGGTAGACATTCCACAGCAATAAATAGCAGGGGGAATGTTCACATCAGAACTAAGTCCGATTTTGTTGTTGGACTATAACAGGATTGAAATATAATATTTCCTTTTTTAAATTGGATTTTCAGACCACCCAAGTCCAGAAAGACTCTAGGCGGCTCATAGCCTTTAAAAAAAAAACCTAATTTGGAAGACTACCTGAACAAAACTTCATAAATGTCATATAGAAAAATTGAAGTGTTTGATGGTGGTTGCTTAAGTAAGAAGAAATCTGCACAGAGTGGTACCCTAGCTAAATTCTGAAATTAAAAAAGGACTGCTAGATCTGTTGTGCAGAAAGGCAGGTGCCCTCTGTAAGTCTTTGCTGCCTTCATGTGGGTGTCCAGATTGATCATATGTATGAATTTGGCAGCTCTAAAGAGAATAGGGATACAATTCATGAAAGCTTATTTTGGAATAGGTTCCATTACAACAATTTTTGGACAAATGCTCATGCAGTGCAGTAGAAAAATAATTTTAAAACTATTTACTAGCATTGAAAGCTAGCACTAGCCAATATAGGTGTGATCTCTTCCCAAACAGATGAGAGCATGTTTGCACATTCCTGTGCAACCTTTAAAAGCATATTTGTTTGCTGATTTGACCCAAAAGTTCTGTGGTCCTGCTAATTTCTTGGTGGTTCAAATAATTCAGAGATAAAGAAGGACAACACAGGAATTCAGACACTCTGGTGAAATATGTTATATGCTTAGTGTTTTAAGTACTACTGTCCTTGCAAAATTTTCCATCTGTTTCCTTTTCATGCCAGAAGCATGAAGATTCTATGAATTATCAACAGTGTGACATTATTTAAGTTATTCTTTTATATTATAAAACTATTTTGAAGTAGATTTTTTATTCTTGTGCATTTATTTAAAGAAATATCTAGTATCTATTAAAATTTGTTGATTGTGTTAGAAATGGCAAAAATGTAACTTGCTTTGATTAAATGTATTGAATAGCTTTTTAACGGACAAAATTCTTTTTTTCTAGGAGTGTAATAGGTAACTCCTACTGTTCATTCTTCTTGTTCTACTATTCTTCTTTTACTAATCAATGATGCTAGGAATAGTTAATGGAACAAGAAGAAGGGACAAGCAAAAAAAAAAAAATCAAAACTGATACAAAGATGGACATCCAACAATTGAAAGAAGCTGTGCTTAACAGGGTAGCATGGAGAGCACTTGCCTATAAAGTTGGCAAGAATCGGAAAAGACTGAATGATTAAAACAACAATTGATCATGTGAACAATTTGTTACAAATACTGGTGATCTATTGACTCTGGCCACTGATAATTGGATTCAGCTTTTCTCAGAAATATTATATGTCTGACATCTCTATGGATATGATTTGCAGCAATATATTATTGGTCTGTCTGCACATTTTCATATAGTTTAGTTTCACACATAGTTTAATTACTACAAAAGGATGAGTTTTTGCAGTATGCTTTTTAAATCAGAAGACACTTTTCATTTGGCATATAAAACAAGCCAAACCAAAATGGCATAAGAAATGACACCATGTAGACTTAGCCAAGAAACTTTGAGATTTTTCATTTTTATAGATGAAATGATGTAAAAAAAAAATTGAGCAAGTGAATTCAATTTGCAACATTCAGGTTGTGCAAACCAGGATTTTCTGCACTTATTGATCTGCAGCCATACAATGTCAGGACAAGGTAAGGCTGCTTTAAGGTGTTTTATACATGTGCTAGGTTCATATTCCCATGTACCTCGAGTCAATTTTTAGAGATTTAATCTAAAACACTGCAAGGCCCTTTGTTGCTATTTACATGTTCATTTATCAAGCACTGTTTGCTTTTTGCCTAAAGAGGAGAAAAGATTTCTCCCCATAAAGGAACATTTGGATGGAATTTGAGCAGAACTCAGCATACTGTACAGTAATCATGCTATGTTATGACAAGTGTTATTAGACTGCAGGTATGGCTTTGTTTTCTTTTGGACCCCAAAGGGAAAAAAGGTGCCAATTATTTGCATATCAGATCAAAGACACTGGTGTCCTGATTTGAACGTTTGTTGATTTTGCCTTCCCTGAGATTTTTATTGGCACCAGGATCTTTGAATCTGTGTTGTATTTTGATTCTCCCCTTCCAGGAGGTCAGGAGCTCAAGGTAACACATGTTATATTCCCCTTCTGGTTATTTTCACAATTCTATAAGGAGGGTCAGACTGTGTAGTAATCTCCTTGGGAGTTCCATGGTTCAGTAGAGACGGGCCAGTTGTAATTTAGGACTCTTGTTCCTTTGCAAAATCCTGTTAACTTTGCAATGCAGTAAATCATTCAGAAAATGTGATGAATGATGCCAGTTCAAAGTGATGTATCTGTTTATACATATTTTGCTGTGTTTGATTCAAGTTTTCTTCACATTGTGGTTGGAATTTTATCCCTTTAGGGATAAAAGTCAGATGGGGACATAAAATAGAACAGGAAGAAATAGACAGAGGACCACTGGTTTAAATTTCAGGTGAAGAACAAATGATTTTGATTCTCTTTGAAGTGAAAAGGCAGCAGATATTCAGATACTGTGGTTTTTATATCTGTGCATTTTCAGGTTGTCATGACAACAGGAAGAAATGTGATGAGAGCCATAAAAGTGTTTGAATTTGGTGGGCCTGAAGTGCTCAAACTGCAGCTAGATACATTAGTGCCAGTTCCAAAAGAGAACCAGGTAAAATAAAGAATATGCAATGTTGCTGCTTTTGCTACTACTGCTACTATTCCTAAACATGAGGTCCTGCTCAGATAATGCAAAATGAGCTTGAATAAAACTTGATACAAATAATTTCATTTCAGAAGATAAAATGGGGAAAATAACTGCAGTTGCACCTTAATTGGAACCCAGAATTTGCATTTGGATAATTGAAATTGACATCAATAATTTGGAACATAACTATTCTACCAACAGTTGTGGTGGATATATGTGCAGATTCACAGTTCGTAAGAAGGCAGCAAGGAAATGGGCTGATTAATGATTTTGGGGAGGTGGGGGAAGGAGAAACTGTAGGAGAGAGGATATTTCTCCAAGTCATTCATGATTGAAGCATCCATGTGGATGCTGGAGGTTATGATTTAATGCCTCTGGAGGGACCCAAATCGGGTGATTGCAAACTTATCTCTGATCTGAGAGACCTGAGATTGTGAGGTTGCACATTTAAAAAAGTATCCTCCTTCCTTTTGAACTAAGTTCTGAGATATTTTTTTTTCTCCTTAAGGTTCTCATCAAAGTTCATGCATGTGGGATCAACCCAGTGGACACCTATATTCGTTCTGGATCTTATAAAAGGAAACCATCTTTACCATATACACCAGGTACAGATGTAGCTGGAGTGGTAGAAGAAGTTGGAGAACATGTGACTGCTTTCAAGGTGGGTTGCTAGTTGCTCACTTCCTTCCTCTTAATCTTTAGGCCCGGGAAATAAATGCTTATCTGGATTTTCTGGCCTTGATAAAGCTCCCATCCCTCATTGGATCTCACATTTGTCATTTTGCTGACATTTTTATAGTAATTTAAACATCATAATAAAAATATAAAATTAAAAAATACAATAACAAAAAGAAAAATAGAAAGTGTAGAAAAGAAAAATAGAGAGAAAAGTAATATAGTAATGAAAAGGAAAAGAAATACATAAAGAAATGATTTCCCCCTTCATCGCAAACAATTTTAGTAACTTAATCACCTTTTAAAATACAACAAATCTCTTCTTCCCATATCTCATCTCTTAATATGTAAACAAATCCTTAAAGCCTTGTTGTTCAGTTTTGGTCAGCAAAAGTCCATTAAGACTTATTGGAGATAACATGTTTATTTTAACCTTGATCAAATAAATCAAGTTTTTATTTCTTCCCTTTAACAAACTTGATCTCTAATCCCTTCAAATAGTGTCCTAGAACTTGATTTCTTTTCATTTTTTTTTCTTTGTCCTTTCTTAC